CCCCAACAGTTCTAAGGACACAGTACAAGATAAAGCAGTCACCCAACCTGAATCACTCAAACATGGTCTCCCTAGCAACAAGGCGCTTCCTGCCCACCTGCCCCCACCAGCATCTTTAAGTCCTGACCCCCCAGCACCACAGAATAACAGCATAGTTGCAGATACAATGTGATGGGAGTGGGTCGTGTCCACTAATGCATGGTGTCCTTATAAAAGAGGAGTTAGGGCAGACACCAAAATAGCAGACAAGGAGAATGGCACGGGAAAACTGGATTTATGCTGCCACACACCGACATCAGGATTGAGGCTTAGAACAGTTTCATCCTAGTTCCTTCAGGGGAACATGGCACTGCCAGGCTCAGCAATCTTTGACTTCTAACCTCCACATCTTGGGGCCGAGCTACTCCTGCTGTCTAAGCCATTCAGTGCTTTGCTCCTGAAGCCCTAGTAAACTGCCACTGCCTCACTATGATTTCTCCCTAGTAGGAGTAAGATCTACAGCAGAGTGAGGTGGTGTGCACTTGTAATCCCAACAGGAGGGCATAGTCTTGGGGGGCGGGGCGGAGCGGGTGTGGCAAGCTTTTCACTGACGTACTAACATACATAGAAAAAGACAAGTGTAATAAAATTTAAAGACTAAGAACCACCAAGAAAAGAAATCGGTCAGAAAGAAGCCTGGGCTCCTCTCATGGTGACTCATGGGCCACAGCCACAGCCACAGCCTATTAGTCCCAACTTCAGAGATTACTTGGGCCTCTTAAAATATTGAGTTAAAAGGAATAATATCTTAGTATACTTTCATATTCATTTAACATCCTAAACTTCTGTGGGCTTTTATGTTTGGTTGGGGTTCAGATTTTTTTTTCTTTGTTTTGCTTTTGGAGACAGAGTTTCTCTGTGTATCCTTGGCTGTTCTGGAACTTTCTCTGTGTATCAGGCTGGCCTTGAACTCAGAGATCCACCTGCCCCTGCCTCTGTCTCCAGAGTGCTCGAATTAAAGCCGTGAGTCACCACAACCATGCCTATCATTTTATTCAAATGGACACACAGAATTCCTTTTCCTCATTTGGGTTATTCCCAGTTTAATCCCATTTTTCGCATCAAAAGAAATCATACATCTCTGTTATGGGATATTTTGATTGTATTCTGACATACCCAAGACTGCTAATAAAGTTTACCTTTAATCAGAAGGTGGAGCTAGCTACTAGCTGACCAAACTTAGCCACAGAGATTTTGGAGAATCGGGGACAGGAAGTATTAGGGAGGGGTTTAGAAAGATATTCAGCCCTTCAGGGCCAAGATAGGAGAGAGAGAGAGGAGGCCACTGGTTGCTTCTCCACCACTTCTCTGATCAATTAGGCTTTTACTCCGTTATCTGACTCCCGAGTTTTTACTGATAAAAGAATAATTAAGATGGGTGGTGGCAGCACACACCTTTGATCCTGGCACTTGGGAGGCAGAGGCAGGCAGGTCTCTGTGAGTTACAGGCCAGTCCTGTCTACAGAGCAAGTTCTAGGACAGCCAGGACTGTTGTATGGAGAAACTTTCTCTTGAAAAACAAAAAGAGGGAGGGAATGCTTCACATCACAAAATACAAGCAAAACAAAATTATTACAGAGTAAGGTTTAGAAGAAATACAGACACACACACACACACACACACACACACACACACACACACACACACAATTATCTATTAAGGAAATGTGACAAGCCTGGGGATGCAAAGCCAATGCCACTGAGCTAATAAAAGACTAAGAACTAAGATAAGGCTGCAATGTCCTCCTGGACAAAAATGACATGGGCAGTGGTACTGTATTAACAAGAGTTTGCTGAGATCTAAAAGGCAGAACAAAGATGACTCCTGAGATGAAGAGAAAATGCAAAAGTAGTTCTGTACAGGACAGTGCACAAACTTAAATCTTAACAAAATCTAAATGACACCCAGTTCACTGCTAATAACTTCAATAGAGAACTGGGCCCTGGAGGCAAGACCACAACAGCCTTTCCTCAAAGTTCCATTGCAGGGGTCTTTGGTTGGTTGGTTGGTTGGTTGGTTGGTTGGTTGGTTGGTTGGTTGGCTGGCTGGCTGGCTACATGCTTGCTTTGAGACAGGGTCTCACTATGTAGCCCTGGCTGTCCTGGAACTCAAAGAGATCCATCTGCCTCTGCTTCCCAAATGCTGAGATTAAAGATGTGCACCACCACCTCCCTGCTATGGGGCTGTTTCCTATTAACACTCTGAGATACCTAAATGAAATTTTTCCACATATTAAAGTCAATGTAAAGATCTGTCCAAAACCTACCAAGCCATGGAAGACCTGTCTTGTAGCACTCTCTAGAGGTTCTACATATTTTGAGAGTCAACTAAGGAGCCAGGAACTGTGCCTGTATTTCCAATGCTTGGGAAAGGAAAGCATGAGGATCAAGAATCATCCTCAACCACATAGAAATGATTCAAAGTCAGGCTGAACTACATAAGACTGTCTTCAAAGGTAAGAAACGAGAAAGGACACTCAAAAAACCAAGGCAGGATAGTCACAAGTTCAAGTCTGGCTGAGGGACTTAACTGGCCCCTGCTTTGAAACTACAATTTAAAAAAAAAAAAAAGAGCTCAGCTGATGGTGGTGATGCACACCTTTAATCCCAGCACTCGGGAGGAAGAGGCAGGTTGGGCTCTGTGAGTTCCAGGTCAGTATGGTCTACAGAAAGAGATCCAGGACAGCTAGAACTACACAGAGAAACCCTGTCTCAAAAAAATAAAAAAGAAAAACCATTATAGAGAGAGAGAGAGAGAAAAAAAAAAACTGGGCCAGCCATTATACACAGACAGCACAACAATGGAACAGCATTTCCAATGTACTAATCAATAAGTATGAGATAGTATGACAGGTTAAGTGCTACACTATACATTTTTATACAAGAGGCTAGAGGGGCTGGGGACACAGTGATCAGCAGCAGGTGAGCATTTGCTTAGCACATGTGAGACCTTGTGCTGAATCCTCAGCACTGTGCTTAAAAGAAAAGGCAAGGCGACTTGAGGAACCACAAGCAAAGGCACTTCAGGGAGGGGAATAAACAACACTTCCCAAAGTACTTTATAATAGCCAACTATTTTGTAAACAAGCCTTAACAATCTTCTCCCACATTTCTTTGAAAGTATCAAGAAGGAGAACTTCCTGTCAAACTGTAAAGGTGGCCACCATTTGCCAAAGTTGGTTTCCTTAGGGAGATAGTAACAAAGACTGTCACAGTCCATAAACAGCAGAGACAGAGGTGATGTTCAATGTCAAAGAGGATTTCTGGGCTGTAGGACTTCTCAGAGTTAACTAATTATCCACCTCTCGAGAAAGGGGACAGTCTGAGCAGCACTTCCCATTAGCACCTGACTCCTAACATACTAAAATGTCCCTAGAGACACAAAGGGAGGTTCTATATTATGTGTGATGAGCAGGGCTGGCATTGGCACCACTACACTACACTGCCATTTCTAGAGAAGGACAGTACAACGTCTATCCTACCTGTGAACAATAATCACCCTAACAACACATATTATTCCTTTCTCATGATTTACCACGACATGGACAACCCAGCATTGTGACACACATCTGTAGTTCCTGCTTTCAGGAGAAGAAAACAGTTTAAGATGACGAAGCTGGCAGCAGAGTGCTTTCCTGGTCAGTCTGTGGTTACCAGATCCTGCCTCTTAAGGCAAAACCAAACCAAAAAAACCACCCTAAGTTAAAGAGGCCCTCAAACCTTTCTTCTCACATGTCAACCAAGGAAATTACACTTGTAAACATGAGTTTATCTAATACTATTTTCTGAAAATCCAAACCAACATGGCTCCCCAAAAATGTGAAGCTTTATACAAATAAATCCAGAAGCCGAGTTCTTCTCAGTGAAATGACTGTGCTAGTTAATGATGTAAGTGCATCCTTTAATCACATTATTGGAAAAACTTCACACTGAAGGAAACTCCAGTATGTCGATTATACTTCCCATTAAATTCTTGTCCTGGTTTTGCAGTATTAATAATTCAAATAAAATGTCCTACAATGGTTTTACTAGCTTCTATAAGAAGGAGGGGGCTCTCTTTGGTTGGTTGGTACGTTTCTGAAACAGATGGGGTCTCAAAAGACTAGTCCAATTCACATTGACTGGTCAATGAAGGCAGGCTTTGCTGGTGCCTGTGGAATCTGCATCCCTCAAAGCCTCTCATCTGCACACTGGGTCTGGAAAGGCCACAAGCTTCAGTGCACTGAGGGCCAGATTACATCTACTGCAAGGAATACAGAGCACATGCAACTCAGTCGCTGTCCTGTTGCCACTGATTGGTAAATTGCTCGGAACCTTGGTAAAGGTTTACCTGTAAATCTTGCTCTGAAGGTCATTTAAAGAAAACTCAGCTGGGTGGTGGTGGCACACGGGTAGTAGCCCCAGCACTCGGGAAGCAGAGACAGGTAGATAGATCTCTGTGGTCTACAATAAGTTCCAGGACAGCAATGGCTAAGCAGTAAGACCTTGTCTCAGAAAACAAACAAAAAACAAACCAACAAAAACTTGCTCTAGTTGCTGGTCAATTCTACTTCAACATAGACCATCCTGTTCCCCAGAATCATAAGGTTTATCTGTCTCTGCTTTGAATGTATTCCCTCTGCAAGCCTAATGTATAGCTGAAGATGAGTCACAGAAAGGAAAAAAAATGACAGGAAAAAGCATTAAGTGTAGAACTGAGTGAGAGAGCAAACCTCATAAGGAAGCAAGGTCATCCAGAAATGCACAAGCCAGACAGAGGCCAGGTGCAGGACACAGCACAGAGCTAGTAAACAAAGAGGCTCAACGCCCACTGCCTTCATTTTGCTAACTCAACTACTGTCCACTCATCTGGACTCCAGGTCTCTCCCACAACAGTAAAGGAGGTCTATTCCTATCCCATTGTGAGGCAGAGGCCATTTCTCTCCCACGAGCCCTGTGCAGACGCCAATGTTCTGCTCTTACCTCCTGGCCTGTAGACGATGTCATCCTCAGTGATATAAGATGTTATCTCCCCAGTGTCTGTCCTTTCATATCTGGACTTTTTTTTAGGCGGTTTCTTCTTGTTCTTCTTTGTGGACTCCTCTGTGGTGGCGCTGTTGTCATTGTCTTCATCCTCACTGTGGTCACTCTCAGCATAATTTTTGGCTCCTCCTTCCAGGGTACAGCTCCTTCGAGGCCTGCCATTCTCACTCTCTCTTGCTTTGTCCCTTTTCTCTCTCTCTCGGTCCCGGTCCCGGTCCCGGTCCTTCTCTTTGTCTTTGTCTTTATCTTTGTCAGCTGTCATGATTCGCCACGTGCCTTCTTCTGTCCTCTCACGGCTAGGCCTCCGTGAAAGGTAGACAGTAAGCCTGGGCTTCAGTCTTCTGAATTTCTCACTCAATTCCAGGGAAAATCCAACCACTCCAACAACCCCAACGCTTCAAAAATGCTAGGAGAGAGAGAGGAGGAAAGGTGTCAAACTGGTTTTTCTCTGATGCTTAAATGTTTCCTCTTATTTCCTTCCTATAAAAACATGTTGCACACCTGTAATCCCAGCACTCAGCAGGCAGAGGTCAAGGCCACCTGTCTACAAAGTGAGCTCCAAGATAGGCAGGGTTTGTTTGACTTATTTATTGAGCTACAGTTTTTTCCCCACTCCCCTTCCTCCCTCTCCCTGCTCCCCAAACTCCCAATTTACTCAGAAGATCTTGTCTTCTAACAAATAAATGAATGAATCGATAAATCAATAAATAAAATAAAGGAGCTGGAGAGAAGGTTCAGCAGTTAGGAGCACTTGCTGCTCTGCCAGAGCACCAGGGCTTGGTTCTCAATTCCCAGCACCCACACGGCAGCTCATAACTGCCTGGACTCCAGCTCAAGGAGATGCAATCCTCCCTTCTGGCCCCCACAGGGACTGAATCCTGTGGTGTACATATACTGATGAACCCAAAAATAAAAATAAAACCTTTTTACTTTTATATGTGTGCCTGTCCGAGTCTATATGCACCACTTGCAGCAGACATCATTCCCCTGGTACTGGACTTATAAGTCGTTGTGAGCTTCCATTAAATCCTTAAACAAAAATCCACCACTATTCATGCTTCCAATATAAGAAGAACATCTCCCAAGCCACAGTGGAAAAGAAGACCAGTGACATACAATTTCACACACATACAGCTGAGCCTCGCCAGCTCAGTGTGGTATTCACTGCCTAACTAAAAATAAGGACTGCTCAGTGGTGACTGTAAACTAAACTTCTGTTTTTACTACATATAATGGGAATAACTTTAGCCCAAAATCTAAAAGGAAGGAGCCTGTAGTGCAAACTGCTTCTGTGTAAAGAACAATTTGCACAGGTATGGGGAACATCTCAGGTGTCACTTCTCCAAATTTCCAAAGCTCCTTTCATGACTCAAACAGTATCTGACTGACCATTCCAAAATCAAGAGCCTTTAATTAGAGCTTAGTTATGACTCACACATCTTCTCAGGCACTATGTTTTCTAGCTATGTTTTAGGAGATTAAAAAAAAAGGGGGGGTTTATTTTGCCTGTCAAAACAAAAGCAGCAAATTCCAATCTCCAGCTTTCAGGACAATCAGGTGGCTTTCACACGCTTCTAAATTCCCACCACCAGCAGCCTCCTTAACGAACATCTCCAGAAACTCCTCTCAAAATCTTAAGATCTAAGAGTCTGCAATGCAAAGAATGAATCTTAAACTGCAACCCAACATAAATCTTGGAAAGTTTTCTACCAAGGGAGAGGGGCTTACAAGTCAGTTTTGGAAATCCTAATAATCATTAATTTATTTTCCACAATTATCTGTCATTTTTCCCAAAAAAAAAATCTCTTCTCATTTGAGAAACAATTGCTACGAAACATTGTCTAGGAGCCAGGTGTTTGGGACTTAAACTATGAGGGGAGAGCTCAGATCCCTCCTCCATAAGCAGCTGCAACAAAAGGAGGCACGATCAGACTAAAAACCATCTGCTTCCTGTGCTACCAGGGCCAGATAAGAAAGAACACACACAAACAAGCAAAAGATTGGTCCTGTTTACTTAGTCCAACAGATAAATCAGTTTGCAATTATATGCGTCAGATGCAGAGAAAGTTTTCTTCAGTCATGCCAAAATCATAAAAATTACACACCTCTTTCAAAGCATATAGATCACATATGATACACCAGAAAAGTTCTCTCCATCAGCATGTCAAATATCCTCGGGAATTCAGGAAAATGAAAATGTTAACCATTTCTGAGACATGACTGAGGAAGGCGCAATGATGGCACTGCCATCTAGACGCAGGTCAGAAGGCCTAAAGTATGCAGCACAAATTAGATTACTTCTTCGCATACAGTAAATGTTTTCAGATAAAATTTCAATTTTAAGCCTATTTCACGAAAAAGCATTCTAGTGCTCATAAAAGTTTTGCACAGATGAATCATCTGCTATGCCCAAGTCTCTGTACGCCGTGGGTATTAGCAACTGAAAATACATGAAGTAAGCTGTGGCTCACTTTCTCCACCAAGCAACCAACCAGAGAAGACAGGCAGGGTCTTCATGGCAATGTGAGGTTCACAGGGCATACCCCTTCCCTTATCAGAATCTTTCAGCAACTCGGTAAACTGTATCAGACCAAGTTGCTGTACCCACCTCACACTTGCTACAGCAGAGGTCACTGCCGTGAGGCCACACTGCATAATGGCAAAGGCAAATCTGAAGGGGCTGCGGCGGAGCAGTCCTGCCTGCCCTGCCAGCCCTCTCGGTTTCCACAGCAGCCAATCTTTCCTTCCTGGCTCTGGGCTACTAATTCACACAGCTTTAGGAAATAACACACACACTGCCTCTCCCTCCAAAATTAAATAAATGGATGTTTAAAGCAGTGTTTTTCTCCAGCAGGAATGCCACAAATATTCAATGTATGTGCTAATCAACTGCACAAGAGAAGTAGGTAACAGTATAACCTGCAGTAAAAACAAAATCCAGTCTAGACCACATCTTGAAATCACAGTAGTCATCTACTCATAACGTGTCCCCTATGCTCCGACCACTTTGAAGGCAGGGAAACGGCAAACAAGCATTTCTCCCAGGGCGGAAGTTATGTTCCAGAAGCAGAGAGACCACAAATAGGCACATATCAACCATCTCAAGGTGGAGAAGGAATGAGGCTGCGAATGCAGAGGACAGTCTGCCTTCTGAGACTGATTCAGGGATACGGTGAGGGACGAGGCCACGAGGGCACAGGAAGGTGGGCTACATGGGAAGGGCAAGTGTGCATGGTCAGCTGACCCAGGCACATTCAATAGCCATGAGGTGAAGCAGGCACACTGAAGGGACACGAAAAGACTGGGTGGGGACAAGTTCAGAGAGGGCTGGTCACAGACAGTAGAGGGCCTGGAGTCCTGGTAATTAGGCTTGCTGTCACTCAAATGCATGAACTAACTCTAGTTGACATTTCAGAAGGGAGGGACCACAGCAGCAAAGAAACAATGACCTCACTTGCAAGGACTAAGGAGACAGATCAGTGGTTAAGAGTACAGCTTGGCCGGGTGGTGATAGCATACCGTTTCCAAAGGACCTGAGTTAAGTTCCCAACATCCACGTCAGATGTCTTGCAACCGCCTGGAACTCTAGGTTATAGTGCCCTTTTCTGAGGGGGAAGGCACAACAAATAAACAAGCAATAAGAAGTTTTTTTTAACATCATGTCAGGTTGGCGGTGCACACCTTTGATCCAAGCACATGTGAGGCAGAGGCAGGGAGATTTCTTTGAGTTTGAGACTAGTCTGTCTACATAGTGAATTCCAGAACTGCCAGAGCTACACAGTCAAACTGTCTCAAAACAACAATAAACAAACCCTCCCCACAAAAAAGAAAAACCGGAGGAAGTTACAAGGGCCGACTGCACAAAGTCTGGTAAATGAGGCTGCCATTGTCTGAGATTTCCCCCACTCAGTGGTTGGCTCTGTGGTTTCTCCTCAGCACCGCAGGGTTCACGACACACACAGGATTCTAGACAGACAAGAAAAGTCTGAGCAGAAGACAGAAACAGATTTGGTGGCTGGAAAGAGAGTTCAGGTTAGGAACATGGGAGTTCAAGTCCCAGCACCCACATAGTGGCTCTCAGGCACTTCTAACTCCAGGGGATCCAACTCCCTCCTGACCCCACGGGCAATACACAAATGGACAAACATACATAAAAGGAAAACATCCATACACATAAAATGAAAATAAGTATTTTTTTTAAAAAGAAATGTATGTTTTACTCTGGTTAGCAAAGCATGAAACTAAAGGAGTCCATCAAGGAAGTGAGGGAAAAATTTTTGACAGAAATGTCAGCTTCACAGAAACACTCATTCCTCACCCTCCTGAGTGACAGACATACAGAAAAAATTACACACTTCCCAAAGCAGGGCCCTAAAGACTCTGCAAAAGAGTAAAATCTTTTTGTGATAGTTTTCTGATCAACAACAAAATATAGTCAGCAGGATGAAGTTTGTTACGCTAATCAAGCTCAAGGATGACAATAGCCAAGGACATAAACCACTGTGCTACTTCAGTCTTGACAACAACACAAAGCATTTACAACACCTCACACTACTTCTCAGGACAAAGTCAAAGGGCCAGAATTCCGGCTATGATCAGGGTCCAAGCTTCATTTAAGAAAATGTGGCTCAGGTAAGTAAGAGCACTTGCTAAGCAAGCATGAGGACCTGAGTTCAAATCCTCTCCATCCATATATGCCTCCAGTTGTGGCTGTATACATCTGGAACCTCCACATGGAAGGAGCTTGATACAGGATTACTGGGGCATTCTCGCCACCAGCCTCACTTTAGGCTCTTTGAGAGATTCCATCTCAAAGGAAGTTTAAAGGTGAAAAAGACATTCAAGGTCCTGCAGCCTGTGAGTGCTGACGCGGGCGGGCGAATGAACAGATGGACACGCATCCACCCACCCACCTACCTACCTTCCTTCCTTCCTACCTACCTACCTGCCTGCCTACCTACCTACCTACCTTTCTGGTGCAATAAGGGATATGCATTCTGACAAAAATTATTTCACAGAGTGAGAGGCTTGACTTCTTTTCAGAGCTGCCAGCTACAGTATTTTAAACAGAAAAATATAAAACATCAATTCCAGTGTATGGTTTATTTTTGCAAGAGTATATTATGGGAGAGGACTGAGCAAGAAAATACAACCTCAATAAAATATGAAAAACTTAAAGCACAAAAAGAATTAAAATTACACAATGAAGTAAAAAACAAAGATATTTCCCTTGAATAATGTAAAATTCACTTATCCAAGAAAGCCTGACACTGAGTCTTCAGTTCCTAAGTTTTAACCATCACCGTTGCTCAAGCCAGTCTCTAAAGGACACCAAATGCACTCAGTGAAATCTAATTAATTCTTTCTCATTCAACCACAGCAAAAATATCTGTATTTTTCATATGT